CAAAAGCATTAACAGGGACACCATCCATGCGCAACATGGCACTGTTAATACTCTGATATTTTGCAGCTGTTGATGGAATCAGCCTCTCTGAGAGCTACCACAGAGTTCAGGAAACCTTACTACCAGCCGGCCTCAGAACCATTAAACTGAGTTTTAGAGCTGTACCCTCGAATAGAGATAACAGGAAGAGTTGCATAGCTATTATCAAGGAGGCATAAGCAAAATTCTATGAGTAGAGTCAAGGAGATCCAGCATTCATCATCCTAGGCAGGAAACAATGTAACACAGGTTACATCTATGCCAGCCTAATAGATGAAGAAGGGGTTCGAGGCTTGTTAGCAGAATTTTTCTGCTTACCCCTAAAGTCTTTGCCTAGGAGGCCTTCTACAAGACAGAAGCAGGATGCAGTTAACATCTGCCCAAGATGAGTATTTTTATCAAGACACCATCTCTAGCCTTTACTCAACCAAGAGCCCCAAGGCAGGGGATGTTTAGCTGGATGCAGTTAACATCTGCCCAATATGAGTGTTTCTATCGAGACACCATCTCTAGCCTTTACTCAACCAAGAGCCCCAAGGCAGGGGAATTTTTAGTCGGAGTTTATTTCTCCTAGCCTTTGCATAAGAAGAGCACACTCTGCAAGGCAGCAGGGCTTGTGGCAGGTGGTACTGGGTTACGTGATACCAGTAGCAAGATTGATCTCGATTATCCTGACCTGACCTGGAGTAGTTAAAAGGAGAGACTTCCCGCAACAGTACTTTGAGAAAACCAGGCATGACATTTTGGAAGTGCATTAGGAAAAACACTGCATCTAACAAAATACAGGAGTCTTAGGTGAGTGTAGGTTTTGTAGTTGGAGTAAGTAGTTAGTTACTGAGCTCACGCTGCATTAGAGTATAAACAGAACACAAACAAACATAAATCAACTTACGGGTGAGTCAACACCGCGCCAAAGGTTCAGACAGAACACAAACATCCATAAAAAACATAAAGTAACTTACGGGTGAGCGAACACCGCGCCAGAGGTTCAGGCAGAACACAAACATACATAAAAAAACATAAAAAACATAAACATAAACATAAAGTAACTTACGGGTGAGCGAAAACCGCGCCAGAGGTTTAGACAGAACACAAACATACAGATAACGTAGATTACAGGTGAGCTAATACAGTAACTAAGACACCTCCAACTATATGGAAAAAAAAAAAAAAAAAAAAAATTACTATAGGCATGACTGATATAAGATAGTACTGATGACAGGAAGAACACTTCTTCCAGACTTTGCTTAGATAGCAAATCCTGCAAGGTAGCAGAACATGGAACAGGTTGCACTGGGTTACATGTTACCAGTAGCAGAATGATCATGAAGACCATACTCCTGACCTGACCTTGACCATACTCCTGACCTGACCTTGATTTCGTTTCGTTTTATAAAAAAAAATCTTAATGCACTTTTTCACTTTTATTTAAAAAAACTATAGTTATTATGCAATAAAATCTAAAATAATAATTTTTATATAAAAAAATGATTATTATTGAAATTTTTATAAAATTTTGCTTTATTTGAGTACCTACATCACATAATTTTGAAAAACTTTTTTTTTGAATAATAATAGGGCCTGCTAATTTATGTAATTATAGTTGCGGGTGGAAGACATTGATTTAGTTATTAAATATTTGGTATATATATATATACATATATATATATATATATATATATATATATATATATATAATATATATATATATATATATATATATATATATATATATATATATATATTTATATATATATATGTTTATATATATATATATATATATATATATATATATATATATATATATATATATATATATATATATATATATATTTATATATATATATATATATATATATATATATATATATATATATATATATTTTATATATATATATATATATATATATATATATATATATATATATATTTATATATATTATATACAAATATATATATATATTTATATATATATATGTATATATATACATATATATATATATATATATATATATATATATATATATATATATATATATATATAAATATATATATATATATATATATATATATATATATATATATATATATATATATTTTATTCAACCATATCAATAAAATTTACAAATTTCATCGTAAATTAATATAAATTGGTTAGGTGTCACTCATATAGTTACAAACTAGTCGATGGAGTGACACCTAAAAAACATAAAATTTTCACGAAAAAATAAATAAATAGAAAGAAAAAAAAAAAAAGGAAACTGAAGTAAACAAAAAAAAAATAAACGATAATTAGATATAATAATAACATAAAATGTAACATTAATAACACAATAATAAATAAATATAAGATTGGTAAACAATAAATAAAATAAAAATCAAACCACAAGACAACTATAGTACAGAGAGAAATTATAAAGAAATACACTCCAACAATATATTTTTAAATTGAATTCTGTTGAGCAGTAAAAAATTCGTAACAAGTGGATATTTTTTCTTAGACTTTTTTGTTAATGCAGGAATACACTGGTTCCATTGAGAGATACATTGTTGTTTTATGGAAAACTTACCATATTTGATTGTGCTGAAAAAAGAATAGTATAGCTTACTATTTTCTGTATTGCTGGTGTGATGATTATGAACTTCGTTTGTTTTAATAAAAAAATTTGAAAATGGGCTTGGTAGTTTATTTTGGAGAAAGTCAAACACAAAAAGACAATTGTAAAACTTTACAAGATTATGGAGTTTTAGGATTTTTAGTTGAGAAAATTTTTTTTCGATATCAGATCTCATTGGGGAAAACGTCATTATTCTAATAGATGCGCGTTGTAAACTAGCAATGTTGTTAAGTAAAAAGTTTCTTTTTTGACCCCAAACAATACAACAATAGCAAAGGTGCTAACTAACTCTGCTTTCTTATCTGGTAGTGCTTAATGGCTTAATGACACAGTCAAGAAGTGTTACGTTGTTTAAGGACATTCCACCATTGCATTGACCATGAGAAGATATCATAGATTGCCTGGATAACAACCAAAAAACCATACAGCCTCAGTGCAGCATTTTGCGCCATCATTAATTACTAAATTGAGGGTGTGTGCGCAACAATTCTGGTCTATAATTCGACATTGTACTTTGTGTTTCCTTTTCATGTTAGCACCATTGCCGTAGCTCTGACCTCTGAGATTGTCCAATGGCAAATGGTTTTTCTCCAACATTTTTAAAATGGTGTCAGTCATTTCTGCGCCGGTTGAACTTTCAATGGGAACAAATCCCACAAAATGTTCACCGAAATTCACTGATGCTATATTTATTATTTTTATTATTATTATTATTATTATTATTAATTATTATTATTATTATTATTATTATTATTATTATTATTATAGTATATACTTTTTACAATCATTACTGTTATCTTTTTTATTACTATAATCACTACTATTACTTTATTATTCCTGCTTGTATCATAATAATCATTATCTCAGCCTTATTTTTATTTAGCCTGACAGGTCTTTACTTTACATTAGTAGAAATTGCTATTTGTAAATATCCTTGATATATATATAACAACTATATTCAGAATATATTTGATTTGATTGATTTGATTAAACAAAGAAATTATAACAGCTACATAGCTGAAGCTAGCATGGATGCCACAACAGAGAAGCTCTGAAAATAAGTTTATATTCTGAAAATAAAACTATAATAAGCACACAGTAGTTATTGAGGATATCTCTTATGGTGCATAATAGTTTTAGTTTATATATATATTTTTTAATATTTTAGATATTTAGTTTATATATATAATTGATATTTATTTACTAGTAATAACTATTGACATAAAGTTTTTATTTGAAAATAAATTACAAATCAAAAGTGAGACTTTTGTTAGAAAGTTAGAAAGTGAGACTTGTTGCAAAAAAAGATTTCATTTAAAAAAAAAGGAAGTTTTTTTTTTAAAGAAATCTAACTTTAAAAGTAATGCCTGTTAATAAAACCTTTTTTTAAATAACAATTTTTTTATAATTTTTTCTACTTTTACTCCACAACACTTTTAATATAAGTATTTAATAATTGTCAATACGCTTTTTATGTGAGTTTTTAATAATTGTTTGAAAAATTTTATGTTTTTTTTGTTTAAATGTATTTTTCTCAGGTCTCTAAAATTCACGACTTTGCAGTGAATATCTCAAGATTTTCTTAATCAATTTCCAAAAAATTTTTAGAAGTTGTTCCTTTTGTTGTTATGGATGTCCTTTACCACTTTTATGACAATGCGATAATCCAATTCAAAGATTTTAAGGCCCAAATATGGTGAAAATTGCCTTATTCTTATGATCATCAAGTGTTTTTCTTATAAAAAAAATCTGTTCAGTATACTTTTTTGATTTTGGTGCAGGATCTTCTTTATTGTACTTAAAGTAAATTTAGAAAATTTCAAGTTAATAGCTTCGATAGTTTTTGAGATAATCACCGCAACGAAATGATGATATTTTTGGGTTACTGGGACCAAATTTCTGAAATCAAAAAAATTGTTGACATTTTTATTTAATTTTGTCATTCAAGAGTAAATTTTAGTCAAACTAAATGTAAATAATATCTAAAATGTGATTTTTGAAGGATTTGATTCAACAAGTGGTCTACCACTTTTAAAAATAAATCATTTTTTAAAAAAATATACATTTATAAAAATATACAAATCTTCATTCATAAAAAAATCTTCATTCATATAAAAATATACAAATCTTCATTGTTATTTTTTTTTAAAAACTTGGTTATTTTAAGCTCATAGACAAAAAATTAATTCCTAGTATTATGCAAAACAATATAACATAATTATAACATAATTCTGATATAAATATAATATTAACACAACATATTTCTGATAGAAACTTGATTATAAACCTTGATTATAATTGTAAAATATGATAAAATAAAAATTATATTAATAATCAACTTACCAACTGATTTTTGACTCGCCCTATGATTTGGTATTTTTTCAATTAACTGATTTTTGAGTTCGTGAAGTGAACTAATTTCTTTCTCTTTTTCATTGATTTGATTTTTTAAGGATAAAATATTATTATCCGATTCCCTGCGTATCTTATCAAATTTAGCTTCAGCTATTTCATCTTGCTTATTGATTCACTCTTGAATGTATTTTTCTTTAGCATCAACTCTTTTTTTATATTCATCTTCTTGTTCATTTATTGTTTTTCTTAAATCTAATATTTGTGTTTGGTTATTTTTTAGCTGCGATTGCAAATTATCTATGATGTGCTGTTTATTGTTGATATCATCATTTAGAGAACTTTTTTCTCGTTCCTTTAATGAATTAATTAACGCAATTTCCTGTTCTTTTTCTTTAAAAAATTCCTTAAAATCTTTTTCTGAACTAACTTTTTGCTTCATAATTCTGTAATTCATATTTGCAAAAAATATGTAAACATCATCAGACAGTTCAGACAGCCAAGCCTCAGCCTCAACTTTTGTTTTGAATTGATCCATTGTTTTAAAAGCTGAATTCAACTATATTAGGTAGTTGATTTTAATACGTAGTAGTTTGAAAAGCATATGTAGAAGTAGATTATTACCTCCGCCTTAGTCGGTTAGCTAGGTAGTCGGTAAAACGCGAACTGCGAACCGCGAACTTCGGTAAAAGGTGAACTTTTTGCGAACCAAGACAAAATCTCATCATGGAAGTATAACAGATGCAACGCTATTAAAAAATTCCTAAAATCATGCGTAAAATCTTTTGTTCATAATACAATAGAAAAGCGTAAACAATTTCAATAAAGTCGAACGCTTTCTAAAGTGCTTCTGAAGTATGTAAAAAATAAACTCGCTAACTTAAATTTTTTCGAAAATAAAATCAGTAAAAATTTTTCGATAAAAAGAATTTGAGGTTCAACTTGCAGATGCTTATAGTGTGTTTTGGTATTAAAAAAAATAAATATAAAAATATTAACTGTTTTGTGCATCAAGTTTATGCAATTTACGAAAAAATATTATTTGTATATAATATATAATATCATGGCCTACGATAATTACACGGCCGGATATCTTGCTTTTCGGAGCGAAAAATTAGAAGGGTAACTTTTAGACTTTCTTAAGCGTCTTTTAAAATTGTTTATTTAAATATTCATAATATGATTAATACATGTGCTGTAGTTTGTTGTAAAACTGGATATAAAAAGAGAGAGAAACAAATTGATGTCATTCCTGAAAAGCATCCACTTTTTGGATTTCAGGAAAATTATCCTGACTTATTTAAACAGTAAGTAGCATTTGTCAATCGAAAGTTATGGAAGCCCAGTTAAGAATTCGGCTATTTGTGCTAAACATTTTGAAGAAAAATATTTAAAAATTGGCAAAAGACTAACATTAGTTTGGGATTTAAATCCCGTTCCTACTATTTATTGCTTAACTAAGAAAATACCACCATTAGGTTTCAAATTATTTTATAATTCACTTCATCCAGGAGATAATAAACAAAGTGTACCACTTGCTCTTGCAATATTTGATCCTTCAACTTCTGTATTTATTGAAAGTTATTTTACAAATAGGACTGATGCCTCAGACTTTTTAAAGTTGATAAATATGTGGTGGACAATAAGTAACAGAAAGCAAATATATAACATCAATTTTTGTATTGGAAATGCAGCTGTTATGGGTGACATGAAACCTTTATTTTTGAAGAAATTAGCCAAGTGGATTTAGAATTGGCAGTTATCTCAAGTTTCAAACTCTTAAAAGTTAATATTAAGTAAACAAACATCAGAAGCGTTAAGGACCACTTTATGATGCCCAGCTTTACTTATTGATGATTTATATCAAGAAGGGTATCATTATTTTTTAGTATCACGCTTGCAAACTGATCCATTAGAACTAAGATTTTAAAAGTATCGTCAAATGAGTGGTGGCAGATTTTTAATTGGTTTGCGTGAGCTTGAGACATCTGAGTGCATATTAGCTTTGAAAACTTTACTTAAAGAATCAGTCAATATCTGGGAGGAAGATGTTAGAAAGAGAGTTGTAATATATCTTTACTTAAAATATTTAATGATAAGTTGCAAGAAATTTACCAGATTGGAACGCAGTTTAGATTCAGAGAGTTTTGAGGTTGCTACATTATTTCTGGTTATGTCGTTAAAAAGTTTAATAAAAAGATCAAATGTGGTGTTTGCAAAACTTTTTGTTCAGCTGAATCTGGTGAGCTGCAATGTCAATATTTAGAAAAACTTTCTCGTGGTGGATTGATTTTACCAGCTATTGATCTTACACATTATGTTGTCAAAGTATTTGCAATATTAGATACTGGGTACTTAAATGGGTAGTTAAATGATTGTGCTTCTTCATTCTTATGCGATGAACATCAAATTATTGGTGTAAAGTTTGTAAATCATGTTGTGGTAAATATTTATTTTAACAATAAACAGAAACACGTTTTTGATGAAATTCAAAAGAACTGTGTATAGGATTTTAAATGCAGACAAAGAAAAAGATTAAAGCTGAATTAAGTCAAGTATTAACTTAACTAATTGATTATTAAATCAATTAAGCTGAACTGAATTGAAGTAGCTAATGCTAAATTATACAGCTGAACTATTATACTTTAAATGTATAATCTTCCTTTATTGTTTGGTTTTTGTTTATCATTTTATATATCTTGTTAACATTATTGAGATTTTATTATGTAAAATATATGTTGTGTGTGTGTGTGTGTGTGTGTGTGTGTGTGTGTGTGTGTGTGTGTATGTGTGTGTGTGTGTGTGTGTGTGTGTGTGTGTGTGTGTGTGTGTGTGTGTGTGTATGTATATATAAATTAGTGTTGCGAAGGTAAAATTAACCGGAAAGATTTCCGGAAAATTTTGAAAATTAAATTTACCGCCTGGTAAATTAAAAAAATTTTTTTCACTTCTTTTTATTTCTTTTTTTTTTTTAATTTTTTAAAGGAAAATTTACCGTTCTTTAATTAAAATTTACCGGTAAATTTTGAAACAAATTTTACTGGAAAATTTACATCACTAATATATATATATATATATATATATATATATATATATATATATATATATATATATATATATATATATATATATATATATATATATATACAGGGGCGGGTTTAGCTTTTTAAAGAGGTTAGTCAAAAAAGTCGGTTGCGGATTTTACTGCCCCCTCCCCACGAAAGGACAGGGGGGGGATAAAGATGAAATACAAAAAAAAGCACCTACCCCATTTGTTTGATAAATAAGTTATTTGCAAAGCCTTCAAAAAAGCGGCTCAAATGGGGTTGCATTTTTAAAATATATATATATATATATATATATATATATATATATATATATATATATATATATATATATATATATATATATATATATATATATATATATATATATATATATATATATATATATATATATATATATATATATATATATATATATATATATATACATATATATATATATATATATATATATATATATATATATATATATATATATATATATATATATATATATATATATATATTTATATATATATATATATATATATATATATATATATATATATATATATATATATGATATATATATATATATATATATATATATATATATATATATATATATATATATATATATATATATATGTATATATATATATATATATATATATATATATATATATATATATATATATATATATATATATATATATATATATATATATATATATATATATATATATATATATATATAGATATAGATATATAGTATTAAAACTAGCAAGGATCCATTAAATCTACAAAAATAAAATATTGTCTGTGGTATTAAAATACTTTGTGGGCATCATTATTGTGTATAATTGTAACATATATAAATAATACACCTGTATGGAGTATAACAAATCATTAATTAAATAGGCAAGGTTTGCATAGTTAGGTGACTTGTAAATAGAATAAAAACTTTGTAAAAGTAAACAACTACAATAACATTAATACCATAATTATAAAAAAATTATAATGTAATTGATTAGTATGACTATCATACTATGAGAAATGCAATAACACAAAAGCAATAATATGATAACTAACCATAAAAACCCATTTTGTTATTTTATTTCATTGATAGATATGCTATATAATGTTAAACAATTGTAATATTAATGTTCGTAAACAAAGTTATGCTTACAGTTAATGTGTTGCATGTGTTTATTTTCTCTAAACTGTTGAATAATGATCAATAAAGTAAACTTCAAATAATGAAAGCTTACTAAATTAAAACCATATTTCAACTCAAATAACCACACAAGGTAGAATCTCAAGGTAGAGCTGAAAAAAAGGAGAAAAAGTATATAATAGACAATGAATATAATGCTCCTAATTAAAATACCAAAAATACAGTACATAATGGTACCAGTTTCGATTAACAATTGACAGGTAAAACTAAAGATAAATATAGAAAAAAAGAATACAATAAAAATTAGACATGTTTAAATTTATAAAGATAATAAAACTTCATGAAAAAAATAAAATAACAACTAAAATAAAATAAATTATCCTTTTAAATAAATAAAACTGTAAAAAATAAAATAACTATATTTTTTAATTTAAAAATTATACAAACTTTCTATTTGAAGAAAATCTTAAAGATACTGAATAAAGATTAGTATATACAGTGTATATACAAACCTTTATTCAGTATCTAATTTACAATGTAAAAAACACATAAATTCTTCCCTAACATTATAGGAATTGTCTATTAATCTAATTATTAAAGACAATTATTCCTGATTGGAGCAGTCAGAAGCTTCATCAGCAATAACTGAAAAAATTCAATTTTCTTTTATTTCAGAAACCAAAATATTCTGGATGTCCTTTCCCCAACAACTTATTAATTCATTCTGTGAGGAATTAGAAATATAAGATCATTCTTTGCACAGCTGTTAAGACAAAGTTCACGAATTTTATCCCCACCTCTGATTCTGTAGTTTAAAAGTTCAATAAAATTACTTACTCCACCCACTAAAAAATATTTGCCAATGACCATCACAATGACCTCTGAAAGCTATATTAAGTTGACCTAAGAAAATGATTTTCTCACAAAACAACTTTTTACAATTTAAAGCTATCTCCTTTTCACATTCTTTATTAAAAAATCTATATTTTAAATATTTCTATTCATAGTATTTAAAACTGCGGAAAATATGGTCCAGGCATTATAATGTAGAATTTGTACTGCATGATGATGTTCATAAATATTTCAGCTGAGTGATATTCATAATTATTCCCGTTTTTCCCATGGTAATGTCTATTAAAAGTGCTCACAGCATCTGGCCTATTTGAATTTTATATTTGAATGACTGAGAATACAAATTTTTAAATCTAGAAGTTTTTGAAAGGTATTTATATCTAAACAAAAGGCAACACAAACAAAATGCTCCATCTTTAGAAGGTAAATATCTAAGCCATGAAAATTGTTTTAATGATAAAAGTTTTTAAAGATTGCCCATTTGTTTTTAAAAAAGAAGTTTCATCAGGAACAAAAACATTTTGAATCAAATTTTATATTTGTAAATCTTTCAAAATAGAAGCCTTCGAACGAAACAACAAATTAACAATATCTGATGATGAACATAGAATA